ATAAGACTGGATGAACATTAACAGAACCTGGAATATATTTTAAATGTAAAACTCCATCAGACATACTAGTATTGCATGTCCTATAATTAAAACTGTGTAGGCTTTTCTTTCTAAGTATGGCAACAGCTGTTAGAGCACATCTGGAAAATATGCTTTAAGCAAAGGTGTTTTAGCTCAGAGAGTTTCACAATGCATAGGATATTTACCAGCACTTCTTTCCAGAAGACTAATCTGATTTATCAGTATTTTTAATATAAAAGTCTTCATTTTCTTATGATGTTTGCAAGGCTGGTTTGGAATTCATATCACAGATTAGCCATTCCAGTGTAGTTCAAGGCTAAATGCTGCGAACCAAAAACATTGCTTTGCTACTATTTTTAGGCAGAGGCCTACGTAAGCCTTTTCTAATGCCCTAATAATATTTCCTTCACTGATTTCAGCCAAATATTTTCTCTTTCTTTGATTCTAAAGAGAAATAATTTCATACTGGAATCGTATTGAGAGGAAAATTGTTGGACTCCTGCTCTGTGCTTCTGGAGGCTCATGTTAATGGCCTTCTGTGTTACCTCCCTCTCTAGAAAATAGAGATAGTTGTACCCCACCCACCCCCCCCAGTTATGATAGCATTGCTCAGAACTTCTTTGAAGTCAGTGAGAGTGTTTACAAGGTAGGATCCTGGCCACTTGGAAATGAATGGCAATATTTCTGATTGTGATAAGAGCCAAAGCATTGTGGTTTCTATGCTTTCTTCAGAACTGTTGTAGAGACACGGCACAACAAAAACAGGATTATTAAAATTATTAATTAAATGGGGACAAGAAAGCAGAAAACTTAAAAGAACACTGTTACTTATATATTGATAATGTTATTAATTTTGTTTATTTGGAAAAAATGATTAAAAATAAAGATGCAGAACCCTAGAAACTTTACTGACACGGTAATACTTTAATCAGGATCTTGCATTCTGACCCAAGCATCTCAAAAGCAGCCAACTAACTTGCTTTCAAGATGATGGGAAGGATTTTGCAGATAGCATTTGCCAACAGTTCCCCAAGTGAGAAAGCAGTTCTTTTTTTGGAGTAGGAGGCAACTTTTTAATGCTAGATAACATTGGAACAGCTTTGCGCCTGAATTTTAAATCATAAATGCTATGCTTGCTGTGCCGCTGGAGGCAAAATGCAGTTACCCAACCAACGAAGAAACTACAGCTGAAAAAATGAATGAGATGAAAAAATAATAAATCTACGGCAGTGATACCACAAAATAAAAGAGTAACATGGAACGTATTAGTGGCAATGTGGGAAAATTAATTCCAAATTATTGACATTTTAGTCGACCTACAGGAAGTATTTTAATGGTCTTAGTATGCTGTGTTGTTCTTAATTTTTTAATTTTTTCCACTGGGCAGAAAACGAGTTTTTCCAAGTAAGGGGTTTAAGGTTGTAATGAATGGTTGCTGTGGATTGCCTGGTGGTCAGATGCCGGTGCTAAACGTGTGACTGGGTCTCTTTCTCTTCCATCCGACACCTGCAAAGCTCACCCTGTGAGGAGAGCCTGAATGCATCTGCTCCACTCTTGTCGCAGACTTGGTAGTTATGAAGGCTCTTCACACATGACATTCATGTGGTGCTTTGACCCCCAGGCTCCGACTGCATGAAGAAAAGGTCATTAAAGATCGGCGTCACCACCTTAAGACGTACCCGAACTGCTTCGTTGCCAAAGAGCTGATCGACTGGCTGATTGACCATAAAGAGGCCTCGGACCGAGAGACGGCGATTAAACTGGTGCAGAAATTATTGGATCACAGCATTATCCACCATGGTAAGTGCAGTATCAGCTGCTAAAAAGTTCTAAGATAAATTTTATTGACTGCTGTGAAGCAGAGAATCCTGCTTCTGCTCTTCAACCAAGTATGGGACAGGTAGGATCCTTTCCCTGCCAGAAAGGGAGCATCTCCCTTGAACTGTGCTGCTCAGCAAGGTCGCCCGTGTCCCGAGGTGCATAGAAAGGCCAGAGAGGTGTGGAGTGACATTCCTCGTGTCAGTACAAGGAGGGGGAGGCCACTGGAGACTGTGCTTCTTCTTCCCTGCCTCCAGAGCAGCCCCAGCTGGATCCTGTCCCTTCTCTCCTTGCTGCCCTCACCTCCCTGCTTCCCAGAGCACAGTTTTCCAGCTGAAAAACCCATCTGAAAAATCAGCCGGCAAAAAAAAGATCATTTTTCTCATGTGGATTAGTTCTCTGGCCCTATCCCTCACACCAGCTGCACAAACATTAGTGCTGGTACAGCTGCAAGAAGGTTAGTGGTCTGACTGTGCCCTGATTAATTTTCTCCTAAACTTGTTGTCTGTTTGAGATCTGTTCCTTTCAGCTTCTTGAATAGCAATTTACGCTGATGAAAAGGAGACTTCCAATTCAGTGGTAGCATTTAGTTGCCTTTTAGTATACAAAAAGGCTAGGAAGCACACAAAGATCCAAGCCCTTGATTTCAAATGTATAGTATTCCCCATTTCAAAAAGACAAAATGTACCATTTTTTTCTTTTTTAAGAGAAAAATGAGTGACTGCGAATAGACGACTGTTGACTTTATGCAGGGGTCACTGTATGTGCAGCAATACTGCTGCTATCTGCAACATATTAACACCACCTTAATTAAAGCAAGAAATGCACATATTGAATGAGTGCCACTTCTACAGCTTCTGCTTGGCTATTAAATTAAAATTCTGCGTTGTTATGGAAACTGGGACTCACGGTAGATAGTTAAAGAATAAAGTAATTATAGGGTATTCAAATCTGACTGCTTAATCCTCTATTGAGAAAATGTCAGTGAAGAGTTGCGTCGATGCCTGAGTGACTTAATTTAATTGAGCAATAGATGTTTTATTACTGAATGCTTGTTTAAAGCTTTAACAACCTTCAAATGTTTTCTACCTCAGGGTCCAATTGCGCACTGTAACTTCCATACAAATTTTATTTATGTGTTTGTATGTATTACACATAGGGCAGGTGTTTCTTGAAAATGTTCATGTATTGCACTCAAATTTAATAGGATAGTTTGCAAAGTGAGCTAGGACAGATGTTCAGTCAGGTTCTGCAGGATGCATCCTTTAGACTGCCGTGTCAAGTGAAAGGGGTACCAGTTCCTGCTCCTGTGGTGCAGAAGGTGAGCCCATGTATGTGGGCTGACAACTCTTCTAAGAGCAGCTTGGTTGGGATATCTTTCCCAGTAATTTATGCCCTTGCTGGAGCTCTGTTCTGCATTACAAGAAGAGCCTGTTGTCAGCTGCTGTCTTATAAACCTTATTTAGCATTTCTCAGTGTGCCCCTGTTGTACCTACTGTTTCCTAGCTGGCATGGCAGAGCAATTGAGACAATTTTAAGAGGGCAGAAGGCTTTGATTTTAACTGTTCCTGCAGCAAGTCTCAGGTTTGCTACAGCATTGCTCAACTGGTACAAGTAGCTTTAAGAAGTTTGCCAATCCTTAAATTCTTGGGTGTTCTACACTGGTGGTGGCCTTTTAAACAAACAAGCTAACAGACTGTTTCCATCAGAAGGTTTTCTGGGTATATAGCATGCGGATACTTTTTTCCTCTTTATGCTCACAATAATACTCACAAACCTGATGAAACCTGTACCCTTCACCTAGAAATCTGGTTACCTAGCTGAAAGTTTTCTCCAGCCTTTCATCAGTTATTAGAACTGAATGAAGTTGTGTGCTCAGAACTGCAGGGAGTTAGGCTCCGTACGTGCTTGCTGTGAAGCTCAGCAGCGATACCTGCTAAATGGATCCTCAACTCCTTAACATCTGTATGAAGACTTTTTTTTTTTTTTTTTTTTTTACATTTCAGTCTGTGATGAGCATAAAGAATTCAAGGACGTCAAATTGTTCTACCGCTTCAGAAAAGATGACGGGACATTTCCACTGGACAATGAGGTGAAGGTGTTCATGAGAGGACAAAGACTGTATGAAAAGTATGTTGCATTCAGTATCCATAACGTTTTGATAATAGTGCCGTGGGAGGCAAATTGTACTTGTCAATCTTTTTTTGCATAGTCAGAGGCTTTCAGATCAGGGAGAAATGGGTTTGGGTAGTCCCTTGACTTTAGTTGGTAACCCTTCTCTCTCTTTCCCATTTCTCTTTTGCTTTTCTACCATGTTCATTTGTAGCATTTTGTTTAAAATGAAATAGCATTTTCTGATGTTCTGGGTTGTAAATACATCCTGTATGAGAACCCAATGTAAATATAAGCCCTTGCACTCTATTCTTTAAAAATAATTACTAAAGGATGATTTGTCATGTAAAACTGTAATCACAGGACCTAAAAAGTTAGTACATCAAAATGTACTAAACAAGTGGCTACATACGTGTTGAGACTCCATATCTGCAGCTTCACCAGGAGGTATGATTTTAAATAATAGGTGAAATTAATCTTCAGTGTTCCAGTCTGCAAAGCTTCTGCATCAGAAAGGTTATATTAAAAGTAGATTAAAAAAACCCCAGCCAAGAGCATCTAATTAAGATTTGAAACAGATGATTATGCTGAGATACTGAATATCTCTCTGGATTACTTCTGTCAAATAACTAGGCAGCTTAACTGTACTTCCCAATCTATAATTAATGGCATTTTTATTCAGGATGTAGAGATTGTGACACGGGACTTTCCAGCAGAGAGAATAAAATGCATATTGGCATATGCTACAAACTAATGCAAAAGTTGTGATATGTTATTTACCAAAAAGCTTGAAGTATTTCTCTAGACTGAATTCCACCCACGCTCCTGCTTGGTTAGAGCAGAAGCCTGCAGCAGCCAGGAGAGATGCTGTGTTTTCTGGCTGGAGTAATTTTATTTCCCTCTTAAAATGAAGCACTCAGGAAAATCCCAAGTTTAAAAGCTGACGATAAATATTATTTTCAAGATTAGAAGGCTCTGATGGTCAATTTGGTGAAAGAGCAATTAAACTGAAATATAAACCAATAATTGTTAATGCCACTCCTTTTGTTGCACCCATCATATAAAATTCCCTGAGACTCAGTGACTGTGACTATTTAAGGTAAAAAAAAAATAAATTGTATAAGACATAAGAAAATACACCACTGGAAAAAATCCTTCACTGGATGCACTGGGACAGATTAGTTGAATCACCCACCTCCAAAATCTTCTGTGCCTTACTAAGCACAGCATTTGCGCCTTCAGACTCCGTAAGACACAGTGCCTGCAAGCCTGGCCCGTACTACAAAAAGCCAATTGATGTGTCTACAGTAGCAAACCTTTTTTTTTTTTTTTTTTCTATTTGTTTTCTATATTTCTATTTCTATTTCTATTCTTCTGTGAGAAAAAGCATTTTCTGTTGGTGAGACTGCTAACAGTCCTCTGCTTGAAAGGAGCCATAGTGGGAAGAACTCTGTTCTACTAGTATCTGCTTCCATTCACATTTCTCTGCATTGAGAACTAGCCCCCAACCAATGTCTAGTGTCCAGATTGTGCAACACTATACTAGCAGGAAAATGTTCATAACAGTATAGATTGTTCCCATCTTGGTAAAGTGGTTAATGCCAAAAGCAGCACCTATATCTAAATATAACTGCATCCTCATGAGGTGGTTGCTCCTAGGCACTGTATCTAAAGGGTTCAGAAACTTTTAAAACCAGCCCTGAGTGCTAAATATAGTATAGATTAAAAATACATGGCATTTCAAAACCGGTCTGTGACAGTCAAAGCTAGCCAAAATTCTCCGTGGATCATTGGAAATATTTTATATTCATGGGTGATAAGAACACATACCTGGGCTATCTGGGCTTCATTTTGTTTATTGTAGCAAATCCAGCGTGCAGACTGCTTGGATTTCGTTAGATCCCTTGTCCATGCACGCTTATTAGCAACACCTTCGCAGTTTCATTGGATGCATTTTAAACTCGAAATCTAATACTGCAAGTCAGACTACTACAGAAAGAGTTCTGCAGTGAAATGTGTGTATGTGTAATATATCTGCTGGATCAGTTTGCTGATAGTGTTGAGAAAGAAAGTATTAATCCAGTACAGTTAAAATAGTTATTAAATGGCAACAACTGGAGAAAAATATTTGTGAACAGACGTGAAGTCACCTACCAGTATATTCATATATTGTTCATCAAAATGCCTGTAGGACTGATTTAAAGAGAAATGCAATTATGCTGAAGGAAATCTATCTGAATCCACCGTATTTTAAAAATCTGTGTCTAATTTTGGTGATGTTGATGATTTTCAGTAGGCTTTCCTAGTTTAAGATAGGTATTATAATACTGTTTCCTGCTCTTCTCCACCCGTCGTGTTAGGGCTGGAGTACCGTTACCTTCAGAAGCCAGCGTAGTTTGTGCTTGCCAGAATTGCAGACATACGTCCAATATCAGCCCATGCAGACTTACACCCTCAGTGAGTAAAATGAACAAAATGCTTAGGGGGATCAGCAGGTTGTTGCATGGGCAGAGGAATGGACATGTTAGGCAGGTTCCCTGCATTCAGTCAGCTGTTTTGGGTAAACGCCCTGTGCTCTCCCCTGGGACATGGGAACACTAGGAGTGTCCCACTGCTGAGGAGCTGTCTTTCCCTGTCTCCCTTTTGTGACAAAGCTCCTTGTAGCCTGGATTCTCCTCTCTTGTGGCATTACCTCCTTCACCTACTGTGCACGTCTTTGGTGACTGTACCTGTGCGATTAGAAGATTTAAAATCAGACTCTGATTGTATTCGCTGTTCATTTGCATGGAAAATCATAAATCAGTTCAAACTCTCTGCACATCATTGTAAATTTTGGTAATCCTTTCTGTGAACATGCTTCGAGGTTAGTTTATAACTAGAGCGGAAACCTGCTGCATTTCCTGCAGTCTTGTCTGAGAATTGTTGAATAGTTTATTAGGTCCATGGATGGTACCAGTTTTCATAATCTACGGGAATGACCAGATAGATCAAATGAGATAAACATGTTTCGTGTTCAACAAAACCCTCCCTCCAAATCCTAAATAAATCCAGCCCAGACTTTTTGTAGCTTTTAAAAAATTTTTTTAAAAAAATCTGATTTTTATGATGTTTGCAGTTCTCAGTAGGTTTTGGTCAGGCACACAAGATTGTTGTTTCTGGTGCAGTCAGGTTTAGGAGCTATAAGTCATCTCATGATGTTGACTTCAACTGAGAATTTTCAACCAGATTTCACAGTGAAAGAAGTGCAGATTTATGGTTTTAATCTCAGGAAATCGTTCAGATAATTTTGAGACTGCATTCTTTGAATCACTTTCATTTTAACTCATCAGTGGTTAAGTCAAATTTATCCTCTGGTGCAGTTATTTAGACAAAACAAGGTTAAAATTTCCTTTTGAAAAGGGTTTGAATTTCAGTGTTTGGCTAAATACATTCCCTTAATGCAGGATAAAACCTGTTTTAGCAAATAATACAGTTTGACATGAATAGCCTCATGTTTTTTTGACACAAGGAGAAAATGGAAGAGATAGAGACCGTTTCCAATTCTGGCTAATGAAAGGCCAGGTTTTTTGGCAGATGTGAATTGGTACAGCTTTGTTGACAGCCATGGAACTACAGTGATTTACTTCAGTTAGCGATGTAAGTCTACGGATTGCTGTTTCTGGGTTTGTTAAATTGTCAATTTGTCGTGTCTGTTTGTTCACAAGTCCAAATCCTTTGCAGTGCTATTCTGGGCACATGCAGAAGGGTGTGAAATGGCAACTGAGTGTTTTTCCACTTGATATTTTTCCAAATTTCTTTTGTGTCTCTGTAAAAATCTAGCAATGAGCATCTCTTTGTCAATGCCCTCTCTATCTGTGACTTCAGTGGGCTGGTCAACTAATTATAGACTCATCAAAGAACAATTGACACAGTCCTAAGGATTGTTTATTTGGTGCCCGCAGAGGCTGGGTAACCAGTTCTGGGTAACCATGCAGCAGATGGTCTGAAAAGACACGTGCTTTGGGTTTGCATTTTTTCTGTGGGGAAAAAAGCCTGGTGAACAAGACACATTTAAAGATGGTCCCTTGGAGCACTGTCTGTATTGGATGTGGTTAGTGTGGGACAAAACGTCGCCTTGCACGCAGATGCTCATAAATCAAAACATGAAAAAGAATAAAGTCTTCACAAGAGTTCTGGAGTCAATACCTTGTCCCCTGTGGCACCTCATGTTCTTTTGGCCTCATCCCCTTCAGCTGATTTTGACTTTCTTAGTTCTTACTGAGCTCAGAGGTGCTGGAAGTGACGTACCAACATCTAAACGAGCAGTTCATTATATCTGCTCAGCTGTGGCTGAGCAGCCTTTGCCTGGTTTGGTGATCTGCTGCCAGCGGTCGGATCCAGTCAGTTCAGGCTTCTGGTTAGCTCTCATTAAAGTCAAGGGAATAAATCTTGGAGGTAAAATCACAAGGGCTGAGTCCTGGCAAACCTCCAATTTTAATTTCAAATTAAACTTTTCTCTGTGTTCTTGTGGCAAAGATTTTTCTGATGCCTCCCGTAGAAGGTGATGTTATGTTCCATGAACTCTGGGCCTGCTGGCAGTTCAAGAAAGAGGTAGCCCATGTATGGATTTACATGAAATTCAAATTTTCGATCAGAAGGGCAAAGATTAAACGCTTCCAGAATGTTCCTGCTGTAGTTCAGTTATGCCCTTAATTTCAAAATAGTTGAATGGAGGGAACTTATTAGCATTACATGGAAAAAATAACCGTGCTATTCTTGAGCCATTATTCTGAAAGTCTTGCCACTAGATCTATTATTAGCCTATAATAAACAAAATAATTATGAAGAAAAATGAAGTTAATAAAGAAGGAGGCTATGGTGCTTGGTCTCCCAAAACCAACAACAAAGTGGGATTCTGTATTGAAAGGAAGTGGTTACGATTTCTTCTTTCACCGTGTCTTTTCTTTCAAACTGTCAACCTTACTTTTGCGTTAACAAAATACTGATTCTTTTTTTGTTTGTTTGTTTGTTTTTTTAAATACTGTGTCGTTTGTATAGGTTACTTGAACGGAGAAGAATTTTATTAGCATATTTAAGCTAGGTACATGCTAATTGCTATGAGATTTAGAGACACCTCACAATGTTCCTCTGAACTCTGGTGTTACATGGAGCTAACTGAGGCACAGAGACTCTGAGACTCAGATGTCAAAATGTGTTCAGGTGTGTAGCTTCTCTAAGTCAGCTGCATCAGTGGGTGTTGGATGCTAAGTATTTATCAGCTACCACGGAACTACCTTTTTTTATTCCTCTTGAATTTTTCTGCAGCTGTTTTAAAGCTTATGGGGAGAATTTTCAAAACCATCTAAATGACTTTGGGGCATGGACCTGCTAACTGTAAAAATCAATTAGGAATTTTTGAACACATTAGTCACAATCTGGTGCATTTAGGCTAATTTTGTTTCCAAGCTGATTATACATTAACTTTTAGAGAAGCTAAAGAACTGAATAAGTGAAATGTGAAACTGAAAAACCTTGTTTACTTTTAGGGAAGAAACAAGAAGGCATTAACTTCACACAGGGATATAAAGCCTATTTTTTTTTGACCAAGCAGTTTTAATTCACATCCTGAGTTTAGATTGATAGCTTGAGGAAAGATTTAGTAAGTCAGTGAAGGGTTCACATGTGTTTCTTTAGTATTGATGAGATATGCCAGAATAGGTCTGGAATTGCTTTTTTGAAGAACCATTTTCCCTACCAAGTTTTTTCCCCCCACATCAGGCTGATGAGTTCTGAAAACACCCTTTTGCAAGCCAGGGAGGAGGAAGGAGTCAAGTATGAACGGACCTTCGTGGCATCGGAGTTCATTGACTGGCTGATCCAGGAAGGAGAGGCCACGACACGGACTGAAGCAGAGCAGCTTGGCCGCAGACTTTTGGAGCATGGGATTATACAGCACGGTGAGAAATCTACTGCCAGCTAGAAAAAGCTATGCTTTTTGTGGCACTTTCTTCAGATCAAATCATGTGGACGGGCTCTTGTCTTCTTGGTCATAATATGTCCAAGTTCTAAGTAATTTCAGATAGGAATCTAGGTAACTTTATTTAATAAAAGGGTGGCTTTTTCAAAAGCTCATTGTATTAGTTCTGAAAATTCTGCCTTAGAGTCAGAATACAGCTAGAATTTTGGATTGTATAATAACAACACAAGGATGTGGATGAAAATCAATGCTCCTACACTTGTGGTAATTAACTTGTAGAACTTGTTATCAGTGATATGTATGATAGAGGTAAATAGCTTTGTAAGGATCAAGTAGGAATTAGAGCCATAAATAAGCTGAATTCTGTATGTAGAATAAAAATGATGGGTTCTGTATATCTTCCTACTTGAGGACAGGAGCAGAGCACAGTCTGATGCCAGAAAAGCAGCTTTCCCTCTTGGTCATATTGCAGAGTCGTTCTAGTATGTTTGGGCAAGAAA